TGCTTCAGGTTGCGACCAATTCGGGCTGCGACCAGAGTCACGGAACGAATTAAGTTCGTAACCTGAGGTTCCACTGTATAAGGGATGCCATAAAATGCACCGGCTGGTCTAATTTTGAATCTTTCTCTTTCCCTTCTGTTTTAGGTTATTTGGGTGGATTTGATGGAAATTTCTTGTGGAACAGGATAGGAGCAGGTAAAGTGGTTTCTGATTTTAATCATGGCTAAGGACCTGACCACCAATTCAACTGGAAAAATATTGGAGGGGAAAAGTAAAGGAAAATGTATTTTTTGCATTTCCTCCCCCAAATTTTCCACTTTTTCCCTTAAGCATATGAATGAGCTGTGTGACAGGGCTGCTAAAAGAGCAGATGTGATTTCAGGCTGGGTCCCTAGAAATATAGTTTCCAAATACTGTTTTAAAACAAGCGTAGCTTTGGTGGGACTCGTATTGACTTTTTTGACCCCATCCTGCCAACACCCTGCACGGAGGAAGCTCTTGAGTTGCATGACGTCTAACATGCAATTGACAAGAGGTGCAAATAAGCAGTCTGCAATTGATGGTGGCTTCTCAGATGGTGCTGATTTTTCTCTTTATTTTATCCTAGAATACAGCTCCAACGTGCCAATTTGGGCTTTGCGGCTACTACCAGCAGTAGCCGGTGGCTTATGTGTTCCCTTGGCATACCAAATATTGGTCGAGCTACGTTTCACCCATTTCGTTGCCCTGGGGGCTGCAGTCCTGATTTTGTTCGGTAAGCTATTGTTCCTTTCAATTATTTCTCAAAGCCACGTTGACCCCTCTTATTAGCTAAGAGGGTTTCTGGAGCAGCTTTTCGTACAATCCGTGATCTGCAAGCCCGTAAGGATTATCCTGGTGATTCTCTTATTTTAGGTTGTTAATTGTAAGCTACTTGTAATCTTCAGAAATGGAGGGGCATTTTGCAAATCCATACAATGATGCAAAAGATACTGCGGACTAATACGATGAGGAAACCAGAATTATTCCTATTATGTCTTATGGATAAGGAATTAGAAAAGAAATGTGGGAAATTGATATTGTATATGGTAACTGTGGCAAGATTATCGTAGGCAAAAAGTTGGAAAAGCTTTTTGAAATACCTACAGTGGAAGATAGATAGATAGATAGATAGATAGATAGATAGATAGATAGATAGATAGATAGATAGATATGTATGTGTATGTATGTATGTATGTATGTATGTATAAATAAATAAATAAATAAATAAATAAATAAAGTGGAATTTAAAAGTAATTATAAAGAAATGAATAAATTTAAGAGACACAGCACAAAAGGAAGAAAGTGTGCGGAGGGACGAGGAAAAAACATACCAATTGTGACACTGATCCATACAGTTGAGACAGTAGAAGGAGAAGAGTAATCCTCTTTTGGCATGGCAGATCTTTGTCTCATCTTTGTCTTATTGGTTACCAGTAAACATCCATAGGATATTCCTTGGGCACTTTAAAATCAGTAAGTTGACAGCTTTTATGCACCCTAATTTCATTTTCTTGGGTTGTGAAAATCACAGAAGGTGCTCAAGGTTGTGCTGTTAAAATCTTACACCTGAAATGAATATTTGTGAATTGTTGGGCTGTCAAATTACTTTGCAAGCAGACCAACAAAAATACTTCCTAAGCAAAGTTTTTGAGCTAGGATTGCACCTGTTAATTATTAACAGGTTGAGATCTCCTTGCAGAAAATAGTCTGTTTATTATGTTTCCTTATTTTGTTTGTTTTTACCACGGGTGTTTTATTACTTTGTATTAATGGATGTTATGAATCACTGCATGTCGGTTTGCGTTGGGGATGAATCTGATAAATCATAAATAAACTAAAGTTAGGCAGTGAGGGGAGATAGGATGTTTAAACGGCCGTTGCAAAGCTTTGCCTTTGTTTAAAGGGTTTTTAGAAGTTGGGACAATTGCTTTCCAACTTTTAAAAACTTGTTCTGGCCAGTTTTCCTTGCCTGATTTCAAGAATCCTGATCTGTTTATTTGCTTGCTATAAAAAGGCCAGTACAGCTGGCTCTTTAGGAACACGCCGTATGTTCAAAACAGTCCTCCTTTGTGTCTTAACAGAAAATTCACTTATTACTCAGTCCAGACTGATGCTGTTGGAGTCAATCTTAATTTTTTTTATCCTGTTGGCAGTATTATCTTACCTGAAGTTTTACAACTCGCAGAAACAAAGGTAAAGGATTCTTTACGTTTGCCGTTCTCATAGTCTTCCCCATGCTGTGTTTTTTTTAATTTTCCGTCTGTGGTTATAAAATACTTCTGCAAAATTGGAATTTCCTTCCACCTGCTGATAGCTTCCTTCTGGTGAAGGGACAGGCTGTCGTCTGTAGCCCTGGGAGCAATTCCAGAATGGGACAAGGTTTGGTGGAGTTAATGTGTGTTGCAGCTCTAGTTCTAGGCCAAACGAATGGCTTTAGAAGGTACAGTCAGGTCCAGAAATATTGGGACATCGACACAATTCTAACATCTTTGG